AAACTAATGGTTGCTAGCTGTGGTCAGTGTAACTTAGTGGTTAGAGTGTTGGCCCATGAATGAAAGGTCTTGGGTTCGATTCTCAGTAAAGCGCACATACCTGGGATGCAGGTTTGATCCCCAGCCCCGGTTAGGGTGTATACAAGAAGCAATGTTTCTCTCTCTCTCTTTCTCCCCCTCCCTCCCTTCCACTCTCTCTAAAAAAATCAATGGAAATATACTCAGGTGAGGATTAACAAAAACAAACAAAAGAAAAGAAAAAAAACAAAAACCCTGATGGTTGTTAGAGGGGAGAGGGGTGGAAGGATGGGTGAGAAAGGTGAAAGAGCATATCCTATATAATAAAAACACAATATGCAAGTCGACTGAACAGCAGAACAACCGCTTGCTATGACACGCACTGACCACCAGGGGGCAGATGCTTAATGTAGGAGTGCACTCCTACAGCCAACCTCCCACAGCCAGCCAACCTTACGTGGTCCCTCCCTGCCCCCCACCAGCCAACCTCCCTCTGGCCGACCAACATCCTGCAGCCCTGATGGGGACTGGGCCAGATGGCCCCAACTGGCCCTGTTTGCCGGCCTGGCCAAGGAAACCCACTTGCGCATGAATTCCTGCACTGGGCCTCTAGTATTTAATAATGAACTGCATAGTGGAGTTCTGGAGAACTGACTATAGTCTGAGTTTTGTCTGTACCCATTGAGTCCTGCTGAATGAAATTGCCACAAACTAGCCAGCAGAGTAAATTAAGTCTTGACTTGAGTATGCTAAACTTATAAGGTCAGAATAAAATTAGTAGTGACTATTCAACATAATTAGAGGAGGGAAGGGAGAGGAACAGAGAAAAAAAAATTAAGAGACTCAAAAAAGTAAATGAGTAAGAAAGAGCCATGAGAAAGCAAACATCATGAGTTATCAGAAGCCAGGAAACAAAAATAAAAAAGCAAGTGAACACAAAAGAGAACAGAGCATTAAATGAAACAGTGGAGTGACCAGAAAAGGGAGCAATAGATCCTTGCCTCTGATGAGGCATCTAAAATTTTCTGGGGATACACACAGATCTTTTGAGGCCTAGATATTTGATTGCTGAAGCAAGTTCTCCTTCTCCTATAAATCTACAACGAATTCCCTTCATGAGTGTAGATACAAACATGTTTGCTTCTTACCACCTGGAAGTGCCTTAATAATGCAGTGAGAAAGCATAAACAATTTATACATTTGTGGTAGGAAGAATTTACGAGTCTATTTTTCTCTGAAATCCAACCAGGACCAAAGCTCTGAATCACATTTATCTGTTCTACCTCTTTCATCTTACTGTTAATACATTGTTCACTCTTATTTTTCTCCGCCATGGATCAATATACCCAAGTAGTCATTTAGCCTACCAGAAAAACATGACTTATTAAAATAATATCTTTCTCGGGTATGCCGAGGTCCTCTTAGTTCATTAATGTAAATCAGAACAAGTGTATTATATTACAAGCAATAAAAAGCAATGTTTAAACTAAAACACACTAAAATAAGATGGTCTCTCTCTAATGTGCTTTCCCCAACCAGTATTTGCTTTCCTGTTAACTTTTACACTTCAACCAATTGATATTTCCTGCCTTAAAACCTCCCCAGCATGGAATCTTGAATGTGCAAAAACATGATTTTTTAAAAAACATATTTTATTGATTTTTTTACAGAGAGGAAGGGAGAGGGATAGAGAGTTAGAAACATCAATGAGAGAGAAACATCGATCAGCTGCCTCCTGCACACTCCCTACTGAGGATGTGCCCGCAACCAAGGTACATGCCCTTGACTGGAATCGAACCTGGGACCTTTGAGTCCGCAGGCTGATGCTCTATCCACTGAGCCAAACCAGTTAGGGAAAAACACGATTTTTTTTTCACTTCACCCAGAATCACCCTTCTACAGGTTTGAGCAGATGGTCATTGGCCACCAACAATGCACAGCACCACTTCCACCTTGTACTATTAGCCAAAGCACTTATGGAGCTTGCTCAGATTCAATGCGTAGAGAAAGAGACTCCACATATTCAGGACAGAGTGGCAAAGTCACATGTCAGGGAAGTACATTGAATGGGAGATAGGGTTTTGGCCATCTTTGAGTTAGTCTCCACAATTAGAGTGTAAGCACAAATACATTTTACAAAACTCTTCTTTTCCAACTTGGATGCCTTTTATTTCTTCTTCTTGTCTGACTGCTATGGCTAGCATTTCCAGTACTAGGTCGAATGGGAGTGGTGAAATTGGGTATCCCTGTCTTATTCTTAGGGGAAATGGTTTTAGTTTTTGCCCATTGAGTATGATGTTGGCTGTAAGTTTGTCATATAAGGCTGTTGTTATGTTGAGGTGTGCTCTCCCTATTCCCACTTTGCTGAGAGTTTTTATCAGGAAAGGGTGTTGGATTTTGTCGAATGCCTTTTCTGCATAAATTGATATGATTATGTGATTTTTGTCTCTCAATTTGTTTATGTGATATATCACATTTATTGATTTGTGGATAGTGTACCAGCCTTGCATCCCTGGAATAAATCCACTTGGTCATGGTGTATGATCTTTCTAATGTAATGCTGGATCAAATTTGCTAGAATTTTGTTGAGGATTTTAGCATCTTACACACCCTCACTATCGCATACTCAGCACACAGCAGATATTTTTATTCATTTTACTTTTCCAAGCAAGCTTTGAGATATTTCTAGCACTGAGAGACAGTATACAAAAGGTAGAGGTTTATTTCTTCCTTTGGGTGAAATACAGATGAGAGGATGCCACTTACAAAAATAGGTTTAAAATTTTATTTGCAATAAGGTTGTTGTCTGCCTCATGATTTCCCTCAAGGAAGAGGCAACTTCCATTCTGGGCACTGGAGCTTCTAAAAACCTCATTTGGGCCCTACCTGGTTTGGCTCAGTAGATAGAGCATCAGCCTGTGGACTGCATCAGCCTGTGGACTGGAGGGTCGCAGGTTCAATTCCAGTGGTCAAGGGCACATGCCCGGGTTGCGGGCTCGATCTCAAGTAGGGGGCATGCAGGAGGCAACCAATCAATGATTCTCTGTCATCATTGATGTTTCTATCTCTCTCTCCTCCCTTCCTCTCTGAAATAAATAAAAATATATATTAAAAATATAAAAAAGTAAATAAAAATAAAAGCCTCATTTGGGAAATATATTTTCATTATTACATGGCTAAATTTGACTTCCAAACTTGGAAGATGCATATGCTTAACCTGGAGGTATTTCCTCAAAGGATTCTTAAAATTTACTTTTAAAGGTCCATGTAGCACTTTCTTCTGAAAAGCTTGTGTTTGGGGTGAGGGAGGAACAAACATACAAACAAAAACAGCCTTCAATACTCTAGAGAAAGGGCCTCCTTTCAATTGTTGCCAAGGAGACCTTGTCTAAAGCTTTCTTCTGTGTTAGACTTTCATTGGCTCATATTCATCACTATTGACAGGCTCATATGTGTCACTGTTCAGCAAAAATCCTATCTGTTACTATTAATAAGCTACCCTTTGCCATATTGATCAGTTTCTTATCTGAGCTTTACAGACAACAACTTCGCTGCCTGTCTCAGAAGCCTTGTATTAGAAAGGTACCTCTAACTCTTTGCTTCCTATCTTCATGACTTTTAAGTACAGACAGTTTGACCTTATTTATTTTCTTTGTACTTCTGTTTTAGCACTTCAACATCTTTCTGTTCCTTGTTGCAGTATTAACTCCCAGGTGACTAAACTCTGCTCCCTCCATACCCTGCAGTGCTCTCGGAAAGCTGGGTATAGTCCTGAACCTAACCTAAAAGTGGCAGTAATGTCCTGAGCTAAAGAGAAATATCTCTAAATAACAAGCACGGAAGAAATTTTATAAGACCGTGTTCCTGAAACCAATACAAAAAAATACTGAAACTGTAACTGTTAAAAATACACACACATACTCGAATATCTCATTTTCTATATGACCTAGCCCAGCCGAAGGCAAACTAAGGCCCGTGGGCCGAATCCGGCCCGTTCGGCTATTCTATCCGGCCCGCGGAGCCGAAAGAGCGGAGGGTTCTCTTGCTCTCCCCTCGGGTCCTTCACCAGCAGCAGTGTTAACATGGCAACGTCGGGAAACACGGCCGCAGCTCCTTCTTCTGAGTCCAGTTTAAGAACCCATTGTGGCCCTCGAGTCAAAAAGTTTGCCCACCCCTGCTAGCCCCACTTCCTGATAACAGTAACATTAATTAAGTGTAACTGGCATAAAACTAGTAGATCTGGTACGGAACACCAACTCCATGGCACATGAACTACGCACTAGGAGAGAAAGGAGGGATTGGTTCATGGCTTAGCTGTCAACTGTGCTCAAACAAAGATTCAGATGTTACTGGAACTTTCTAGGGAACTAGTGGGCTTTTCATTGTATTGGCATCTCCACCTAGAAATTACTTCATCCTAAAGAATGAGGCATGCCAGCTCAAATCCCGCCAACAGATGATGCTTCAAGTGAGAAGGAGGAGGCGGTTATAAGCAGGTGCTTTATTCTCCAGCCCAGTCGTAGTCTCACGTTTATAAACTAGGGAAACTGGCTGCAAGAGAAAATAAAAGCTGTTTTCACCAGAACCTCTCTGAGATAGTGTAAGCATGAAGCAGCTACACTCAGACACATGTATCCAAGCCCACTGCAAAGGTGAGAGAAAGGCCTTCTCTGACCCTAACATAGAGCAGAATGACCATGTGGAGCTTCCTCGGCACCAACAGTAGCTCAGTTTTGTCAAAGCAGAGCAGGTCAGGAGAGCATTGATTGACATAACTCCATTTCAGTGATTATTACCAAGAGACTGTGGCAATATCAGCAGCCTTAAAGGAAATACAGAAAAATGCTGTTTGTGGTTTTTAAGTGTTTTTTTTTTCTTTGCATACAAATAATCTAAAAAACAAGAGATGAATTAAGAAGTATAATCCATAAAAGCCCCAGCAATAGATAAATATTGGAAATAGGACAGAGTGTAAGTCACACCTGGCTTAGTCAGCTGTTCACACCCTGGCAAACAGCAACAGGGTCACTTTATCCAGTGCAATCAGGTCCTGGAACGGGATGATGATGCTCAGTGTTGATTTCCCCGCTTCAGCTCCTTTGTAATCTCTCCTCTGTCCACTTCCCCATCTTTCCCTGTTTGGTTTGTAAGTTTTAAGGATATTGGATAGGACCACTGACTTGTGCCTTTATAGAAAACAGACCAGATATATACATATAGAATGAAGAAAACATTTTCAAACTTGCCACACATAACAAAAACAGTCCCCATAGTATTCAACTCAAGTTGCTGTTTCTTATTTGAGATACTATTATAGATTATTTGCTAGAATGTTGACTTATAGAATTGTTCACTGTTAGCAATTCACATAAAATTCCAAAAGTATGCCATATGAGATTTCATCAAATACGAGTTAATCAGATTCCTTTAATTCTCTGCATATATTTTCTCAAAATAGCATATACGATTGTTAAGAAAATGAGTTATAAAATATGATCAAAGCAATAATAAGCTGTTCCCTATGGAAACACACAGATTCTAGCAAGTACCTTTCCAATTGATATAAACAGAGACAAATAGGTTAATTTTGTTCATTATTTTTTAATGATTCTCAGCCAGGATATCATTTATACTAATTTTTTTATTAAAACCTTCTTTTAAAAGGGTGTTTCCTCAAAACAAAGAAATCTCATAGTGTCATTGGCATGTATAAAATTGAATTATATTATCCAGCATTTCTCTAATTACCATTTTTTCATGGGCATCCATTTTTCAACAATAATATTAGAAAATAATTAATACCTTCAGGACAAGAACCTGAACTTTATGCAAATATAGATTAGAGAAGTCCAAATTATTTTTTAATGAGCTATATGTATTATGTCTCCCTATCTAGAGTTCATCTGGACCATGGCATTAAATAAGCTTAGAGTTAATTAAGCGTATTATAACTATTTCTGGCTTCTCCCTTTATTAGTATGAATCCACCAGCTCAGAGGCACTCAGCAAACATGGAAATACTTTATCAATGCTCCATTCCAAAACACCTTGATACATTTCGATCCTGTCTATGCTCTTGGGGTAATTCTAGAAGCTCAAACCTATTGGACACTTTTCAAAATCCATTACTTTGCTATTTACATAAATATGAATTGCAGGAATGGAGGAGGCTTTCCTTGCAGATGTTGATTTACATTAATAAGAGCCAAAGTCAAACAATTGCTCTCAAGCATATGCACACACGAAGGCACGCTATCTATTGCTGCAGAGATCCTGGCTCGGGCATCCGCAGATTAGGAGAGCGGATTTGCTTCATATTTTAGTGTACGAACGTGAATACAAGTCATCATACAAAATCTCAACATGCAAATGAAATTAGAAGACCTTTTCTAATTTTCACAAAGAGAATGAGAGAATCACTTTTTCAGTTAAAAAAAAAATATATCTGCAGACCACTTATTAATATCTGATCATATTTTGGCACCAACAAACTAATTTAATTTATACCTACTCAGGTTGTTAGGTAGAAGAGTAAACGCTTTTGGGACTAACCCTATAAAAATCTACCCCAAATCTGAAAGAAACACCACTTACATGAGTTAATCCTATGGAGGAAAAACACTGTGCATATCAACAGAAAAGCAATAGACATTCATTTTCTATTAGGGACTCAGCAGGGAAGAGCAGAGTCAAATATGTATTTTCCATGGATCTGGTTCACATTCTATCATACACTCTAAAGCCATATTTCCACAGCTGGGTGAATTAGGAGAATAATTTGACATTTTAAGAGTTATCTCTCCAGTTTCTTCCATGTAATTCTGTGATGAAATAACAAACTTGGCACCCTAGACAGGGGGTGGGGTATAAAAAAGGCAATGGGTTTGGATTCAGACAAACTAAACTTTAAATACAAGCACTGCCATTCACTACATGAATTACCTTGGAAAATCGGTTAACTTTTCCCAACCTCAGTTCTTTCTACAGTAAAGAGAATTCAATACCCAAACAGACCCATCAAAGGAAAAGGATCCAGCAAGTGTTCTGGAAGGTAATGAGTATACCATAATTGTTGGTTCACTTATCTCCCTTTCTTCAGGCATTATCACCACTCTAATTTTCTATGCTATCAGCTGCTACTCAAAAAATGTGGGTTCCTTCATGTCCCTTCATGATTTGAGCTTTATTTAATTTTTAAAAAAATGTATTTATTGTCTAAAGTTGTACATATGTCTCCTTTTTCATTTAATTATTTTTTATATTCTACTTTACCCCTAGATGTTTACAAATTTTTACTACATACCCTATCATTTGGAATTCCTCAAGACTTTCTCTCCCCACTACCTCATTCCACTCTTCTCCTAGGTCTAGGGCAGTGGTTCTCAACCTTCCTAATGCTGCGACCCTTTAATACAGTTTCTCATGTTGTGGTGACCCCCCAATTTCATTGTTACAAATTTAACATAATTAAAGCATAGTGATTAATCATAAAAACAATATGTAATTATATATGTGTTTTCTGAGGGTCTTAGGTGACCCCTGTGAAAGGGTCGTTCAACACCCAAAGGGGTCGTGACCCACAGGTTGAGAACTGCTGGTCTAGGGGAAGAAACCTAACAATGGTCAATGGACTCAACATGATTAGTCTTTATTATTCACTTCTATTGTGAAGAATAAAGAAATTTCAAAAATAGCTGAACCCAAGTAAACATACTCTTGGCTCCCTTGAATCACTTTCTCTTGAAATGCTCTCCGTCTTATGACTCCTTGTGTCTGGCAGGCTACCTTCCCTATTGGAAGATAAATTGCTCTTCACACACACAACCCTGAAGGAAGAGGCTAAGAGAAACGAGCTAAAAAGCAAACTACTAAGCTCTGGCCAAGGTAGTATTTATGGTACATATAGAGTACAGCTGGTTTTTTTTACAAATAGGTGGATACATAAGCATTTCAAAGACAAATACGTAATTAATTCACTTTCTTTTCATAAAATGATATATCTGTTCAAGTAAGACTCAGATTAGGAGGGGTAGGGAAGGCTGCAACTGCTGAGACAGGTAGGAGATTCAGAGGTTCAAGTTCTGTCTATGTAACTATCACTATACCCAAAATGGTTGGGTATGTAGGCCAGCTTTCCTGGAGTTACATATAAAACACTTTACAACATTATAAAATATAAAGATTTAGTATCTTATAAAGAATGGACTTCTTTGCCAAACATGAGTTACTATTTTTTGATGGGCCAATGTGATAGACTAAATAATATGCTCCCCTCTCCCCAGTACCATGGCTTAATCCATGAAACCTTAGAACAGTGATGGCGAACCTTTTGAGCTCGGCGTGTCAGCATTTTGAAAAACCCTAACTGAACTCTGGGGCCGTGTCACATATAGAAATTTTTTGATATTTGCAACCATAGTAAAACAAAGACTTATATGTTTGATATTTATTTTATATATTTAAATGCCATTTAACAAAGAAAAATCAACCCCAAAAATGATTTCTCGTGTCACCTCTGACATGCGTGTCATAGGTTCGCCATCACTGCCTTAGAACGTTATTTTATATGACAAAAGAAACTTTGCAGATGTGATTAATTTAAGGTTCTTAAATTAGGATGATTAACTTGCATCACCCAGACCCTAAATGTAATCATCACTGTCATATGAAGGAGGCAGCATGTGACCAGGCTGTTGGCTTTGAAGATGGAAGAAGTAGCCATGAGCCAAGGAATACCAGGGATGCATCTCTAGAAGTTAGAAAAGGCAAGAAAAGAGCCCTAGCAGGTGTGGCTCTGTGGATAGAGCATTCGCCTGAGGAATGAAGGGTCTCAGGTTTGATTCCAATCAAGGGCACATGCCAGGGTAGAACTCCATCCCCAGTAGGGAGTGTGCAGGAGGCAGCCAATCAATGATTCTCTCTCATCATTGATGTTTCCATCTCTCTCTCCCTCTCCCTTCCTCTCTGAAATCAATCATATATAATAAGACCCTAATATGCAAATTGACTGAACAGTGGAACGACCAGTGGAATGACTGGTCGCTATGATGCACACTGACCACCAAAGGGCAGATGCTCAGCACAGGAGCTGCCCCCAATTGGAGGCAGCTCCTACGTTGAGCATCTGTCCCCGAGAGGGAGGTGACCGGTGGTGGCGATCGGGGGACAGGGGCTGGCCAGAGGATGGCACAAGGCCACCAGCCAAGATAGGTGCCAGCGGAGGCCCCCCGATCACCCCACCCGCCGGACGCCCCACAGATCAGTCCTGAATACCAGCCAGGCCTAGCCTATATATGGGAACAGTCTCTTAGATTTAAAAATTAAAACCTGGCAAGGCTACTCTAACACTAAAAAAACAGGATGGTGCAGAGATTACATGCATAGACTCTGGCTTGTATATTTTGTAGTCAGCCCTGATCTGACACTTAGAACTGTGTGACAAAGCCAATTACTTAACTTCTCTCAGTTTCAGTTTTTCCACACATAAGATGGGGAAAATGGTACTATTGCCTCAGAAGGATCATGTTATGTATTAATTTTTATAAGCAGGGCAAAAAAATATAGCTGCCCATACAACAGCAAGATGCCTTTCACCTGTATGAAAAGTATGGTCACTGGTGCATGCAGCATCCCAGATTGCAAGAGGGATGTCCGACTGCCAGTTTAGGCCTGATCCCTGGCAAAACCGGCAGTCGGACATCCCCTAAGGGTGCAGGCTGGGCTGAGGGACCCTGCCCATGCACAAATTTCATGCACTGGGCCTCTAGCAAAACATTTAAAAAAACAAGAGAGAGAGAGAGATTCTCCCATAGGACCTCCCTAGGGAGTATGGATCTTACTGATACCTTGGTTTTGGTTCATTTTTTCATGGGCCCATTTTTGAAGTCTTGCCTCCAGAAATATAAATGTATCATTTCTGTTGTTTGAAGCCAATAAATTAGTGGTAACTTTTTATAGCAGCCATAGAGAACCCTTATACAAACAGAAATGTCTAACTGAACAGAACCTTACTAAGGAACAAATAATTTGGGAATGGGAACAAGAACTAAAGCGTTTCCCCAATTCTCCAAATTTAGTCAGGTGTCTCTTGTGCTATGTACTCTCTAAGCAAAGCACAATTCCCTCTCCCTGAATCTCTCACATACTCTGGAATTAAATGATTTAGTTATCTCTCTTCTCCACAAAACAAGAAGTCCATGAAAGCAGTGTTCATGTCTGTCTTTTTCACCACACAGAGAAGAATTCAGGGACACACACACACACACACACAGGAGTTCAAGTGGCCGTGGCAAGATTTATTAAAGTGAAAGTACACTCTCAGAGAGAGAGAGTTTGGGCAGGCTCAAAGAGCAACTGCCCTGGGATCTTTGTGTGAGCTTTCTTTTTCTTATAATCTCTTGGGCTGGGGAAAGAGTGGTTTTATTTTGAACAATCCAATTCCTGAAAAGAGTGGGCTTATTTTTTAATTATTCAATTCTATGCTCTGATTTCCTTCTGACAGGGTCCTGCCACTTTGAATTCTACCCATATTTCTCTAGGTTTGCCCACAAAGGGGAGGATTAAAACCATAATGCTAATTTATTATAATCAGGGTATAATTGAGATGAGGTCACTTGAAGGTGACTTGTGTGCCAGTCTGCTCCTGTGCTAATAATAGGAATTTCCCTCTGTCCCTTCCTCCCCCTCTCAGGATGCCCAGGTTTGCCCCAAACCTGTCAGGCTGGCATACTGATGTTGCCTACGCCTCCAAGTGACCCCGATGCTTTTTATTTTCATAGTCAGGGGTCTGGTTCTGTTGCCTCCCTTTTTCCCTTGATCAAATCTAACTAGCAGCCTACTCTAATAATCTGTTCATTTCTGTATCCTTGAAGTCAAACTCAGTGGCTGGCATGTAATATTACCTGATAAATATTTCTTTTTGTAAAATATTTTTTTATTTATTTCAGAGAGAGGAAGGGAGAAGGGGAGAGAGATACAAACATCAATGATGAGAGAGAATCATTGATCAGCTGTCTCCTGCATGCCCCCTACTGGGGATCAAACCTGCAACTGGGGCATGTGGCCTTGACCAGAATCAACTTGGGGACCCTTCAGTCCACAGGCCGACATTCTATCCACTGAACCAAACTAACTAGGGCAGTGGTCGGCAAACTGGCCCCTTGAGCGTGGCTCTTCCACAAAACACCATCTGTGGGCGTGCACGTACAGTGCAATTGAAACTGCGTGGCCCATGTCACGGGGCCAAAGAGCTGCATGTGGCTCGCGAGCCGCAGTTTGCTGACCACTGAACTAGGGCATGATATTTCTTAAAAAGATGAATAAGTGAATGAGAGAATGAAAGAATAGTTTTTCAGAATGTTTTAAAAATTTATCTTTATTGTTGAAAGTATTACAGATGTCCGCTTTGTTTTTTGTTGTTTTCTTTTTTGTTTTTTCCCATTGACCCTCTCTTCCCTGCACCCACCCCTCCCAAGTCTCCACCACACTACTGTCTGTGTCCATGGGCTTATGCATATATGCATATAAATTCCCCCAGTTAATCTGTCCCTCTCCACCTCCTACCCCCATCTTTCCTCTGAAATTCATCCATCTGTTCATGATTCTATGTCTCTGGATCTATTTTGTACATCAGTTTATTTTGCTCATTAGACTCCACATATGAGTGAGATCATGTGATACTTATCTTTCTGTGACTGGCATATTCCACTTAGCATAATACTTTCCAGGTCCATCCATACTATTGCAAATGGTAAGTTCCTTCTTTTTTACTGCTACATAGTATTCCATTGTGTAAATGTAGCACAGTTTCTTTAATCCACTGATTTGCTGATGGG